TATGTTATGTGTGCTTGGAGTTCATTTTAATTTCATATTTATTTGTTATCATCAAATCTTGAGTGTATTAGTTCTACCGTCTTGACTTTAATTTCCCATTGATGAATAATGAAACTTGGTGATTGAAATTAATACTTTTGAGTTAAATATATGTTTTAAAACATCTTTTAGTTTTAATTTCCTATTTTCATTTTTTATACATTAGTTATGCATAATGTTCAAATTTTTAAATATTGTCAAAAGATAAGGTTAGAGAGTATAATCCAATCATTAATTGGAGACCAAGTTTGAGTTCACAAAATTAATCTTATCAAAATATAGATTGAAATTAAGATCAACTTAAACCTAGTTCAACGTGTTTTACGAATATCCGACCTAATACATATGCAAACATATATCACATTGTCATGACTCCAAAGAAGATGGTTTAGCAGCGAACGAGCATATAATGTATAGATAGGTAGGGAGATGATCCTAGATTTGATTTCTAGTTACACTAAATACTTGGGACTAATAGTAATAATGAAAGTAAAGTAAGAGTGACCAGGATGAAGATAGAGAGAGAAAAGAACTTGGAGAGTAGAGCTCTAGACACTGAGGAAGAGGATTTAGTCATAAGGAGAGTTAAGAAACCTAAATGCGTAGGTCCTAATGATGAAACAAAACATGCTTCGCTAGTATTTGCATTGAGGTCAATATGAAGAAGAGCATGTTATCTAGGTTCAAGATAGGTAACAGAATTTTTCATGTTAGATATGAGGGCCCTTCATCTCATTTGTTTTTCTTGTGGCCAATATGGCCAAATGAAAAAACAATGTGGGTATTTGGTTCGGTCAAAACTAGCAATGAACAACTCTCAATCTCAGTTGAGCAAAGGTAATGGTGTAACTACTACTGAAGCGTGTAAATCCACTAAAGAAGCGAAAGCATTTGGGAACTAGATGGTGGTGCAGAAGACTCCTAAGGGATGATGGCTAATGGCAGTGCTAGTGGAAGGAAAGCCAGAGTCGATGAAGAAAGGTGAAGAAGTCAAAGAGAACCTATCCCCAATCAGCTAATAGGAGCAGGCTGTCAATACTAAGATTGGTACTAGTAGCCGAAGTGTAGTAGGCCCTAAGGTGGGATTTCCCCCTTCAGAAAGTAGATAAGAAGGGAAGCAACAACAGAAAAATGGGAGATAAGGAAACCATCCTAAAAGGTGTAAGCAGAGAAAAATCCCTTTTGGAGAGTTCGAGGATACAAAGAAGTCAACGAGAAACAACCTTGCTATCAAGGGTCTAAGTGATAGGCCAATATGACACATTCCCATGCAGCAAAATAAACAAAGTGGACATAAGAAATCTGTCCGAGGAAAGTAGGTGGCTCATGAACCATATTCGAGCACTACAAATAGCTCCTCAAAGACAGTTAGGGTAATGTTAGGATCAGAAACCAACATCAGTCATGCGAAGCAACATAAGGAGTTGAAAAGTGCGATGGTGTTAGAGTGACGAAAATTTCGCCTATTTTCCATCGCAATTGTCTTCCCTCGCAAATTTCATCGCAGTTTGCAAGGGAATTTTTCCCTCACAAATTTCTCTTGCTATTCGCAACTTTTTCCGTGGTAGGTGCACCTTCTATTCAAAAAATAACACATGGATAATTTTTTTTCTTTCTCTCCTCCGGACAACTTACATCTCCTCTCTCCACTTTTTATTGGCCCATCACACTAAATGAATGGTGAACCTTAAAAAATTTCCTTCAACCTTTTCGCAGTAACTAATCAGAGTTCACTAGAGCTAAACTTTATCCATTTTACAATCGATTTTTACAATCAACTCACAAAAAGGCCATGGCTTATTATAAAGTGAATTCTGATGTCTCTTTTTATTTTAAATTATATGCAATTTTTTAATCATTTTTCTTCCCTATTCATGGAAATGGAAGATTCAAAGATATATCCTGATTATCGTAGGAGTTTATTCGAATGTATTGTTTGCAGTTAAAATTTTGGATCTTATTATCCACTATGAAAGGTTGTAGTTTTTCCAATTTATATAAGCAATAGCCGGTGATAAATTAAATTGCTTCTTCCACGTGTATAATGGCTTTATGGTTTTTCTGTCTACATTATTATCGTCATTAATTCAATGTACAATCGAAAATACTTATTTTGATTTTAATAAATGGCCCTACATTTGTTGAATGAAACTGCAAAACACTTATGTGTTGCTGCAAGTAGATTACATCTACCTTGTGGACACTACCAAATGGTAATAAATATTTTTACTATGGACTAAAGACGTACATTTTTTTTACTAAAGACATCATTAATTATAAAGATATGTGATGTGGAATGCCAAATGAGTGTGTTATTCTTTTTTGTTTTAAATATAGAAATAAATTGATTGCCTTAAATATTTAGTAAATCATAAAAAGGTTGATTTTATTACTTATGTGAGTAAAAGTCAACATGAATCTTCTCACACATTCATCTTTTGGTAATTACTAAAACTAAATTATTATTTTTTCTTTTTTAAAAAAAAATAGATGTTAAAATTTTAAAGGTTTGCCGACTAACCCTAGCTATAGGATTTTGTTGGATTTTTGACCCATGCGGGCCTTTATCATAATATACGCTTTAACCACAGCCCACACAAGTTGGTACTAAATATGGCGGGCTAACACATTTTGACACCTCTAATTCAAGTATAATATTCACAATATATAATTGACATTGATATATATGTCAGCTATGTCGTGGTAGGTACCGAGATGGCATTAGATCCACATGGATGATTCCCATCCAAGATTTCCATGATTTTGTAATTATTGAATTCACTCGAATGAATCGTCCTTTTTGGCTCTTGGCTTCATTGTTTAGTGGTAACGAGTAGAGTAGGCATCCCTCTCGATCCAATCCGTTTTTCCCTGGCCTCCCCAACACATTCTTGATATGAAAGATTCTTATTAGTTTTTCATATTGAAAAACGAATAAGAATGAGAGGTGTTAAGCTTTGTTTTTTTTATCATCCTGATGCCAAGCTATTTTTTCGCAGGACCTCCCTTACAGTATAAAACCAACCCCCCCACCCCTGAACCAGTACCATTTGTTTCACTGGTAGGCCGACTTAGGTTAGGGGGCATTGTCCCTCAGTTCTTAGCAACCTTCGTGTGTAATTGACATGTTGCTAACTTCAACTTAGTTGACTAAGAATCATTGATTCCTTTTGCTATCCATTTCTTATTTATTCAGGGCGCTTGACCAGTGCTTCTTTTTTAAACCAGAACAACTCTGAACGTTAGACAATATTCAGTTGATTTTTAGTCACGAAAAGTAAGCATGAGATAATAAATTCAGTTTTTCGCTAAGATTTTGAATAGCTGTCCCGAATTCAAGTTGATTATGTTTCGCCTCTTCCTCGAAGAAAGATGATCAAACATTCCTAACCATGGTCCCTGCGGATCGGATCATCCATATAATATACAAACAAAAACTCCAGATATTTGATCTCTTTCTCTTTGAATGATATCTCAATTTCAGTGACAGTTTCATTAGATATCTAACAATTAGAAACCCTATTTTTTTATGATCCAGTTCCTCCACCACCGCGAACCCTAGTTAAATTTAGGCATGATACACTTTTCAGTTATTAGGAGAATCCAAGTCTCTCTTTTGGGTCCAGGATAGATCTCTCGAAAATCTTTTTTTCCTTTTGCAAGATATAGGAGCGGAACAATAAACCTATTGATATTGGAAGACTCAAAAGATTCTTCCAATGTTTCATTTCCAGGTCCAATAAAATTCATATGTATAGGAAGAAGCCTGTCAAATAGAGATTTTTTCTTTCCATCATCTTTATAGATGTAGCTTGGAGTGATGCATGCATCATGCCTTATATGGTCAAGTGCAATTGAATAATGCAGTAGCATAATTCGAAAATGAAGCATGTGAGATACGTTGGAAAGGATTGATCATGCGACATAATTGATTATCCTTCTATCATATAATACCTTATTTGATGGAAAGAACATTATAGAATGTCCAATCGATACACATCTTGCAAAATTTTAACCCTTTTTGTTTAGGTCCTAAATAGAACATTGTAAAGATTTGTCACCAATGGAATATGCTTTTTAGTAGGCCAGTTAAGCAAGAGGAATATGAATGATAATAATTGCCTGTTCCCTATCCCCTAACAGCTCTAATCATCAATTGCTGCAATATTGAGTTGTTGTTCCATCCACTAGATTTTGACCAAATCGTGTTCTCACGAGGTTTAAATTAAGAATATAATTTTTGATATCTTATGCCCAAAATTAAATGCAAATGGAGGGGATCGAGGTGTTAGCCAGTGAAGGATCTTGTTGTGAGTATTACGTCTTGAGATTGAACTTTGGCTTCATCACGAAATAGAAGATTTAAGGGGACTAATTATCTTTTAATTTTACTTACCCATTTAAATATACTTTAAATTAAATAAAAGATAAATATATTTTTCCTTGCAGAAATATAAAAATCATTAATATAACCTCACAACTTAAATTTTTTGGCTGAATTATTCCTTTACATTTTTGCTTAGTCAAGCTCCTTTTAAATGGTCTTGCATCTTCAAATTAATATGAATATGTTTGATTGGATTTGATGCCATCACGTTTGTCCAAACGTCTCATTTTTTAAAAAATTTAGATCTCTCAATTAACAACAATTTGGCGTCTCTCTCTTTCAAACTGAAAGTGTCAAACATCTATATTTTATATACTTTAATTTAATTTTCATTACCAATATAAAATAATCTTCTATCAATTACACCAATACTCCTTAAATATATTTATTTTTTTATTTTTTCATATTTCACGTATTGAAAAGTACCCTGCTTGATAGTTAAAACTAAATAAAAAAACCTGGCAAACAAATTACAAATGGTACAAATTAACAAATAAGAAAATTATTGTACATAGAGATCGCATGTCCAGAAATATAAACAATGACGTACAAGAAAAGTAATTTTATTTTGGTATCAATTATTTTCAGGTTCCTTCTTCACAATCTCGTCAATCACGGGTTCAACGAAGGATTCTAAATTATCGAGGTCATTCTTGACATTTTCAACCTGTTTCATTAACCAAGTCATTTAAAATAGAAGCAAAAAATAATCAGCTCTCACTTGTAAAATTTGTAAATCTATGTGATCAAATATTAGTAATGGTGAATTGTAATTTATAGTAGAGTAAATATCTTTTTTGGTTCTCAGTAAATTTCACGATGCCCACTTTAGTCCCTAGCAAGTAAAAAGGCTCATCGTGGTCACTAAAAAATTCAAAATGAACCTATTTTAGTCCTTCTGAGAGACTAATATGGGTTTTTTTTGAATTTGTGAGGGACCACGATTTCAACTAAATCGGTCCATTTTGAATTTCTTAGGGACCCTTTTTATTTGCTAGGGACTAAAGCGGGTATTGTGAAATTTGCTGAAGATCAAAAAGTGTATTTACTCTTTATAGTACCTTGTGTATAAACTCTTCTGCTAGTTGAGCATCATGAGCAACCTGTTTGGATGCATGTTCTACCATTAAAGCTGCTTTCTGTAGATTACCATCTTGAGGAAGCATCTCTGCTACATCTTCAGATACCTTTTCTGCTACTGTAGCCACTTTTTGTACTACTTCTGCTACCTTTTCAACCTCTTCAACCACAACCTCTGCCTCTCCTGAATGCATCCATGCACATTTTGTTAACAAATAATGTAATTCTCAAAGTAAGGCAATTCCCACTTCACATGACTCCTCAACTTACACAGTAGGTTGGAGAAATGATTAATTATACGTGACCTTATCTTTGCATTTTTGCAAAGTAACTTTATCTTTGCATTTTTGCAAAGAAACGGTTTTTCAGACTTGAACGTGTGACCTTTCGGTCAAAAGAAACAACTTTACTAATGTTCAAGACTCACCTTCTAATTATCAGAATGAATATGGAAAAATTAAGAAAGTAGCTAGTTTGTTAAATATTCTGTGTATATAATGATATACCTTCTATTCTTTGTAGTTTTTCCACATATTTCCAGAAAGGTAGCACGAGAGAAAGTACCGAGCCCAAAACCCATCTTAGCCTGCATGATCATAATTAAATTCTCAATGTTTTTAAACAGTTATAATTTCCATTCATTGTTGGTTAATACTCCCAATTCTCCTTTATTTTTAGGTGAATTTTGCAATTGAAGGTGGATCAATGATTTAGTTATTCATGGAAACAATTGGTTGTGTCACTAAAATGGTTTTGTTTGGTTTTGTAATTATAGTAGTAGTAAGGGATGTTAGTTCATACCAGTGAGGGAAGGTGAAAATTGTAGAAGCAGGGGCTTCAGGTTGAACCTTGACCTTCTTTGCTCTAGAAATATAGGTTGAAATCAAATTTCAGCATGTAAATTCAATAATCAGATTAATGGAATTGATTGAAGATGAAAAGAGAATGAAGGTATTGGGTAGTTAAGTTACCCATTTGCATTAATTTTTGTGTTGCTATTGGTGCTAAAGAACTGCATACTAGGATGCAACCAATAACAACTTTCAACCCTTGTTGTTGACATAATTGGACTGTTTCTCTTGAACCCACCATAGCTTGATTGAAATCTGCTAGCATGAACTACATCAAGAACACTTTTGAATTTCAGAGTTATCCATGAGCCTCTTGTTGACATGTTGAATAGATTTTCAGTTTCTTCCTCAACAGCTGGAATGAGAAAAGATGATCGACCCTTGCCAGAGTTACTTTCTAGTTTAAAATAACCAATTCGATTTTAAAGAATTAAAGATGCCTAAGGCATTTACGTGTGGGATTGGTTACACTTGCAGGCCAAGTACTAGGAAGAAAGCACTGGATAAGAATAAAAAAGTATGCCAAAGTGTTGAAAAAATAGTAAGGTAAAATTTTGGAAATGAATTTGGTTGCTACAAGCAAAAGTTATGGCCTAAAAAATGGAAACGTACGCTAAGTATTGGATATGTCATGTGGTTTCTTCACTTCCTTGTACGTTAAAACCTTCTGGCTTTGAAGGCAAAACTTGTGGTGTTTTCTTCTCCCTTCTGACCTAAGTTGCTTTCTGAAATTAGGCCTTTGTCATTCTTTTGGTCATCTAGATTAGTTTCTTTCTATAACATGCAACAAAAACATGAAAAAGGGTTGAATACTTGAATACTTTGAGCAGGGAAAGAAATATAGCAAACCTTGATTTGTGGGATGTTCATTCATTGATTTGGACATTTGGTAGTTAGGTCTGAACAGGGGCAAAGACAATTTTTTCCTGAAATTTTGTCCAATTCAAGGTTATGAAAAAAAATAAAAAAATTGTTCTGGCACGTAGAAAAAGATGTGAGAACATTAAAAAGTGAAAAGGAATATTTTTTGGGCCTTGCCCCTCGTGTTGACCAAAAAAATATATGGACTTTATTAATCTCGTACAATAGGAAAGAAGCTCTCTCATACTATGAGACAATCATGTGTGGGCCCCACTACTTATAGAAAAAGATAAAAAAGTAACACAAAGAGCGATGTATGTGTATGAGAGAAAAATACTCTCCTACAACACAAGAGTATATTCCAATATATATATATATATATATATATATATATATATATATATATATATATATATATATATATATTTAATTTTGATATAAGATTAATAAGTCTTATTTTTATTTTATTTTTTAAAAATATTTTTATCTTGGCCATTGATATCTATATATTTGACGTTTATAGTTTATTTAGAATTAATAATTAATTAATAGATATAATTATTACAATTGTCAAATATATTGGAGATTAACAGTTAGAATGAGGCATGAGACTTATTAATTTTATAGCGAAGTCAAAAAGTCTTTCCTCAAAAGTTAAATATACCAAAAGGAAAAGAGAAAAAAACTGAGCGGAAGTTTTTTTTTTTTTTTTAGTAAATGACACCGTAATATAATGTACTAAAATGTAATAAATTGAATGTACACGAAAAAATAGAAAATATACTTGAAATTAATTTTGTGATTGGTGAAGAATAAACTGACCGAAGGACATAATTATAAAGAATATGGTTTTATATTAATATCTCTAAGAATAATAATACATTTTAGCAAACCAAGTCTGTGCCTTCTTAACCATTAATATTACACGTCTTTCTTTGTCAAATGTACGTATTCATCGGACTTTTCTTTATGTATTCTCACTTTGACACTCTTCAGCATCATCATTGGTCCAATGAACATTTTATGATTTTCTGTCAAAACATCTTTTCATTCAAATTATTAAAAGGAATTTTTGAACATTTTTTTATTTAGCGGTAACACCTCTAAAATTATGAGAGATCTCTAAGTTCCAATCTTTTTTATTTTATTTTAAAGACACCAAGTTCCAATCCTAATCCAGCATCGTTTTGATTTGTTTGGGAGTGTGGCTTATTATGAGAGATTTAGGAAAAAATATTTCTGTTGATCATGTTTATCTTGTCCATCCAATTGCCAACATGACAATTTAAAATTTAGAAATAATGAACCTCACTCAGATGCCCCTTCACAAGTCACAACTCTTAATGAGGGAGACATTTGGGAGGTTGACCGAGTTATTTCGACAAAAAAAAAAAAAAAAAAACATTGAATCAACGTTATTATTATCTAAAAAGTGTTTGTTATTTTAAATCACATAATTTATGTTATTTCATTTTTATAAAGAAGTGAGATTCACATCTTTTTTTTTATTCTTTCTTTCTCTTTATCTATTTCTTTCGCTCAATTAAAATGATATAAATTTACATTCGTTAAAATGATACATACTTTTTTCTATTATTGTATTTACGATCAGTGGCTTCATTGCCGGCAATGAAAGTGATTGGGAAAAAAGTCGGTTAAAAAATGGGATTGAAAAAAAAAAAAATTGAAGAAAGCATAAGGAGAATATTGTGCTTGAATATTCTTAAAATTAATAGATATATATAACCATATCTTCGGATATAAGACTAGACTAATTAATTAATGTCATTGAGATATCTTTCATATTAGTTATTTTTTTATGATTTCTTGGAGCATGAAGTATGTAGCGCACTTGTGTCCAAAAGGTTATTGAGAAAATTCTCTAAGGGTACCTGAATTGATAAATGAGCTTTCAATGATTTGCTTACACGAGAAGTTTAAATTTTGCCGCAAATAAATTATTAAAAAAAATTTGGGGTCTAGAGAACATGCCTCTCTCCTTAAATGAAGGATTAGTTTTATTTTTCTTCCGATAACTAAGCTCAATGCATCCGTTGTTCTAATGAAGAATAGCCTTCGAGCCGTATTTCAAAAATAAAGTAATATGAGGAGGTTGAATCAAAATACATTCAACTTAAACCAAAAAAAAAAGTCATTGAGAGAGTGTTTTAAGAAGTTCTTATATAATCATATACTATTACAAGTGGAAGCCACATTACTCTTTAGCATCTTCAATGGCTAACTAAAGTATCTTATATAACATGGAGTCTCATCTACATATATATTTTATGAGTGCAATTTTTTTGCCAGACTGCACAGTTTTATTGGGTACAGCAGATACAAGTAAGTGGATCACATTTATTTTATTTTAAAAAAAAAATATTAGGATCCAAAATCGTATCCTATTATTACTGCAAAAGTTTTTTTTTTTTTTCAGTGACAAGAGAGTTATAAAACACATATTTTATTCATAATACCCTTATTATTGTAGTTAATAATATACGAATTATCAGTGACTTTTCAGGTCTCTTTTTTTAATGTAGTAGGTTGGGCTGGGCTGGAGTAAAGTGAGCCCAAGTATACCGACATCAGCCGCCATGAAAATGAAATCTAAGACAAACCAAACGTAAAAGTCAAAACAAGCAACGCGTACAAGATTAACCTAACACACACACAAAAAAAAGCATAGTTTTCTTCCTCTTCACACGATTCCAAAGTCAAACTTTCAATCCAAACTTCCTCAAACCATTCCAATGTTGTTTTGATGCTTGCTCTCTTTCCCTTCAGACCCAAACCCCAGTCTCTGATATGGGGCTTCTTCCCAGAAAGTTGTTAACTGAACCTGACTGTGATTTCTTCTGTCATAAGGAACAGTCTTGTTCATCAGTATCTATTTGTGATGCTTGCCTCTCCGCCTGCTATAACTTTTACCCTCCACCACCACCACCAGGTTTATATAAAGATCAAAGCAAACACCACAAAATCTCAACCTATTTGATTATCACTATTGCTATTGCAGCTACTGCTTTCTTTGTTGTTTGCTGCTACGCCATCTATGCCAAGTTTTTCTCAGGTTGGAACAGGTCAAGGAGGAGAGGTTTATCACAGCAACAAACAGAAGATGATTTTGTTGATGAAGAACATGGTCCTGTTGTGGACCACCCCATCTGGTACATCCGCACCACTGGTCTTCAACAATCAATTATCAGTGCCATCACCGTTTGTAAGTATAAGAAAGGTGAAGGCTTGATTGAAGGAACAGATTGTTCTGTTTGTTTGAGTGAGTTTCAAGAGGATGAGAATCTAAGACTTTTGCCAAAGTGTAACCATGCTTTTCATTTGCCTTGTATTGATACTTGGCTTAGATCACATACCAATTGCCCCATGTGCCGGGCTCCTATTGTTACCAACCATGCAAGGATTCCATCTATGGAGCCTAATAATGTTTTTGATTCAAGTTCTGTGGAAAACAACACCCAGATGGAAGTTTTGGAAAATGGTGGTGGAATGGAAAATAGTGCTTCTCAGTTGAGGAATGGAGAAGAGGAACAAGGGCAAGAAGTTGAGGATATGAGAAGGGTATGTGAAAGTGAGAACTCAGCTGCAGATGTAGTAAACATACAGCCAAGAAGATCAGTGTCTTTGGATTCTTCTTCTGCTGCTAAGATCAGTCTTGCTCTCGCCACTGTTGAATCTCATGGGGAAGTCAATGAACAAATTGTTTCAAGGAGTGTTGCAAAAGGTAGTTCTTCTTCAAGGACAAGAAATCTTCTGAGTGCACCTAGTTCAATGAAGAGGTCACGATCCTTCAATGGAAAACATCTACTATCTTGGTATAGCCGCAGCCAAAAGAAGCCAAATGCTCCACTAAGAAGCTTTTGATTGTCCTCTTTGGCACAGGTCAGTTCTAACTCTCAACAAGCTGAGAGTTTGAGAGGTTTCTATATGAATCAAATAAGTTATGTGATGATCATGTGTGTAATAGCAAAGCAAAAGGTCACAAACAAATTGAAGATTATCCTTGCTAAGTTTTGCTCAGAAGGTACCAGAGTCACATATGATGTATATTCTGGCTTTTTAGAGCGAAACATCAAAATGTATGTAGGCCTTTTATTCATCCAAAGTGATGCATGGATGCTGAAATTAAATGCAGGGCACCTTATATTGATTTTGGGGTTTCCTATCTAAACAATTTAATCACTTAATGTACAATATTATCCACTTGCGAAAATTTGTATGAAACATTGTTTGCACTTTTTGATCATAGACGACAGTTAAAAAGAAAAAAGAAAAAGGATGTTGCTGTAATTGCAATTATCAGCAGAATGCACCTATTTTCAATTGAAAAGTTCACATTATCCTGTTATAGTAGAAGTTAGAAAAATCCAAGTGCTCCTCCTCTGAAAAGCATTTGCTTGTTCTACTATGTCATGTTAGATTCACCTGCAATCTGAATTATACCTGGATCTGTAAATCTCCCTTTGAAGCTAGAGTTTGAGAGTTTTCTGGATGCATCAAATAAGTTATTAATAACAAAAACTAAAGTAGCAAATAAAATGCAGGTTCTCTTTGTCAGAATTTTCCCAGAAAAATGCTGGATATCATATATTTGCTTGACGATCTTGCTAAGTGTTACTGTGATGCAGTCTTTTGTTGCAGGGGTGGAAAAATTGATCTAGTGATCTTCTTCTTGATGATAAATAAGACTATAAAATAAACTTTCAGCTGATTTTGGCAATAAGGCATAGTTCATTGAGGCGATACTATTTAGAAGTATGGGTAAGTTTTCATTACTATGAAAAACTGGGAAAAATACATGAAGGGAAAAAAATATATAGCACATGTTGATGACACACCTATGTGGAAGAACAGAAATAACTAGCTAATTTTAATTTTTTGTATTCGACATCCATTATTTTTCTATTTTATTTTTTCATGCGAAACGTTCAAAAGATAGACTTTATACCTTCTCTATTAATGTTTTAAACAATGTCCCAACTAGAGAACTGTTGAAAACAGTGACTCAAGGTTTAACAAGTTTAATCGATTGAACCCGATGACTTATGAATATTACAATCCTTGTTTTTTCTTGTTGTGGAAATGATTACACAATGAATTTTTAAAATTTAAATTGCACACAAAACTTAATATAATATTATAAGTGGGCCACTAAAGAAACAATATTATGCGTATACTTGACGTTTTAATCTCAATTTTTTAAATATTATTAATGTTTGATGTATATAAACACTAAATAAATACATTATTTAATATTTGAGTGAGGTGATATAATCAATATTTGAGTGTGTTAAGAACAAGATATAACTAGCTATAATAAAATAGTAAAAAATTTCACCAAAAATATAGTTAAATTTGGTTAATTAATATCGTATAATTGTGTGAATCAATCAAGGAAATGAAGCATTGATGGGATAACTTCATACTTTTCAGCTACCAAAATGTTACTTGTACAATTTACTCAGCTATCTAGGTCGGTCGTTGATCTGAAAAGAAAGAAAGAAAGAAAGAAAGAAAGAAAGAAAGGAAAAATTATAAGAACTATAAAGAGAATAGTTTATGTATTACGTGAGGAAGGATACACTGTAAATAACGTTACTCTTTCGGCTAAAAAGTAAAAACTATAGGCGCAAATCCACATATGGTCTTTCGATTAGATTTGAACATTTAAAATAAAGCAACACTGATGCGTAAAACATACATACAAAACTCAGAGACATTAAACTATAACCGGTATATTTTAACTTGATGAAAAAAAATCATAGGATAGAGTTTTATGAGAATCTTGTCGGTGCATGTATATTCCGAAAGGTATATACTCAAAATCCACATATTATATTTCATTATGCAAGTTAGGCAGCATTATAGAAAGAGGTGCATAGATGGACCACTAAAGTTGTAGAACTACAAACAGAAAACATGAGGTGGCTGATGACATCTATATTAGACACGTTTCAGATGACCATAAACCGAGTAAGGAAGAGAACAGATAAGCAGAGACCTCATTCGTTGAACTTGAAGAGGCAGGGCCTAATGATATTGGTGACTTCACCCTCTCTTTTCATTACCAGTTTCAATAATGGCTTCAACTGCTCCTGAGGTTAGCCCAAAATCCAACAAGAGAAATAGTTTCACAAGCGTGAAAGAACTATCTCAATCACCAGAACTCACCTCAATCCCATCCTCATACACCTTTACCCCCAACCAAGATGATGAAATAGTAACAGACCCTGATAAGGATGATCCAATCCCTATCATTGACTATTCCCTCATGGTCACAGGTACACCTGATCAACGAGCCAATACCATCCATGACATAAAAAAAGCTTGTGAGCAGTGGGGAATCTTCATGCTGATCAACCACTCTGTGTCAAAGTGCCTCATGGAGAAAATGGTCGATGAAGTTTTAACCTTTTTCAATCTTAAAGAGGAAGAGAAGCAAGAGTATGCAGGTAAACAAGTAATTGACCCAATAAGGTACGGCACCAGCTTCAACGTTTCAATGGACAAAGTCTTATTCTGGAGGGACTTCCTTAAAATCGTGGTGCACCCAGAATTTCACTCACCTGATAAACCAGCTGGATTCAGGTTTTAGCTTATTCTCCACCACTTTTTCTTGTAACTAACTCTAAAACCCTATTTGCTAGACTTAGGCAGAGATAAACAGAGAAAATGTGCTAAGTATTAACCATTAAGCCTAAGATATTATGTACACTAAATTCACCATTTTGTTGTTGAAGGGATACATGTGAAGAGTACTGCAGAAGAACCTGGAAAGTGGGAAGGGAACTACTCAAGGGAATATCAGAAAGCTTGGGATTGGAAGCCAATTACATAGACAGGACAATGAACATGGATTCTGGTTTGCAAATGATAGCAGCAAATCTTTACCCACCTTGTCCACAGCCTGAGCTTGCAATGGGAATCCCCCCACATTCTGATCATGGCCTCTTGAACCTCTTAATGCAGAATGGGGTTAGTGGCCTTCAAGTGCTTCACAATGGAAAGTGGATTAATGTTACTTCCACCCCGAACTGCTTCATAGTCATTGTGTCTGATCATCTTGAGGTGCTTACTAACATAACCCTGGTTGCCTATGCATTTTGTTTCTTTGCTAATAGTGATTTTGATTTTGTGATAACGTCTTACCCTTTTGTTTTTGCAATAGATTATGAGCAATGGAAAGTACAGAAGTGTATTACATCGAGCAGTTGTGAGTAACAAAGCTACTAGAATGTCATTGGCAGTAGTAATTGCACCATCCTTGGACACTCTGGTGGAACCAGCTTCAGAGCTGGTAGATAATCAAAGCAATCCACCAGCATATGTTGGGATGAAACATAGAGACTACATGGAACTTCAGCGAAGCAACCAACTTTATGGGAAGTCTGTGCTAAACAAAGTTAAAATCTGAATTTGAATGAGCTCAAGTGATAGGCTCATAAATTTTATGTTTGTGACAAATATTTTGTAAAATATAATAAGGTTGTGTTTGGCTAGGTTGTCAGTACGCGCCGCTAAACCGCTACCGTAGTGAGTAGCGGTAGTCGACCGCGACGCTACGCGACATTGGCCATAGCGGAAGGTAGCGGCGTAGCATAGCAGCAATACCGTTACCCGCTACACCGTTACACCATTCCCATGTTGGAATTTGATGGATAATCCGGAGATGATGATTATTTTCTTCATTAGTTCACTTCTTGTACTTGACTATTTGACAATTTTATTGTTCATTTGTGTTTAGTTTTGGATCCTTCCTTTATGTTCCTTGTATTTGACATTGATTGTGGAATTATGTGTTTGATTTTGTGTGACTTCTTATGTTTGAGCATTAATACTAAAAGCAGTATTGCTTGGTTTCGTAACTGTTAGTATAATATATGTGGAATTAATACTTCACCGTAGCGACAATACTGCTACCCGCTACACCGTTATACCATTTTCGAGATCGGCCATTACCGGCCGCTAACTGCTACTGACAACTATGGTGTTTGGATAAGTCATTTAAAGGGAGGAATGAAATTTAGTGCATGTGAAATACTCTATTTTAAAATGTCCTGTGTGGATGATAAGAAAGAATTTTTTTTAATTTCTATGGTATTTTGATTGGGTATTTTCTGTTGGGATATTCAAATGTGATGAGTTCCACATCAGTTAGTTATGAGTTAAGTGAAATGGATGGACCCATGAACCCAATGCCTTAAGGATATGTTTTAAAATTTGATCCGGTCATTGACTCGATTGAAATAACGAGTCGTTGGTTCAACCGGATTCAATAACATATACTGTTCACTTATGAAAATAAGATAAGAAACATAATCCCATTTTTTAATCTTGTTTCGAGTTTATGAAAGACAAGAGGTCATTTATGATATTTGATGGGATGGGCGCCAAAAAAAAAAAAATAGGAATAAGTTTGCCTGAGTTCAGACAAATAACAACTGAAAGAAGCAAAATATTTTCTTCTGAGTTTGCTGCCACATTGAATGGAGCCACCGAAAATCCAGCTGCTGAGCGAGTCGGCGGTGAACCGAATTGCCGCCAGCGAGGTGATCCAATGCCCTGTCTCCTCCGTGAAGGAGCTGGTGGAGAACAGCCACGGAAATGTAACAGAGGAAATGGAACTATCTATGGATTGAGAAAAAAAGAAGTAACTGAAAAACACCTTTTGTTGTATATAGATACTAAGTGACGAACTCTGTTTTGTGAAGAAAAACCAAAGATCAGAAAATTCATAGAACCTCAGTAACCAATCAACACCTAACTAAGAGTGTTGTAGATGTGCTGTAGTTGAACTATTCCATCAAACACATGGCGAGCATTGGATGTGCTCAACTTAAAATAAAAAAATAAAAAAATTGATGCTATTAGAACCAAAAAAGAGAGGTAAAGTATGAATTTAATAGACAATCTTCAGGGAACTGAGCATTTGCATTTAAAAATGACTACCCAAATACCCAGAATTCAATGAAATTTTAAGTATACCTGAATAACGCTGGAAGGACCACTTTCGACGGTGTTTCCTTACATTATCCAGATTTTACTACGAAATTGAAGCTTGTTGCACATCAAAGTCTCCGACGACGGCCACGGAATCCGAGTTCGTTATTATTCTCTTCTCACTCATTTTATCTTCAATTTCATCCATTGCGCTTTTGCGTTTGCGTTTTGGCGAATGATTATCGTGTTAACAGTTACTTAACTATAAAAGCAATTTTAGGTTGAACTTAAGTATGGCATTTGGCAGAATTTTATTAGATGAGTATTGAGTAGAATAGGGAACAAAGAAATAGGAGTGGATTTGAATACATACTTTAGCTATGATTTTTAGCGACAGATGACAATAAGATCCATAATCTGCCCACTATATAATTTATCAATATATATTTCCTCTATTTTCATGTCTAGTTCCCCACAAGATCAATCTTTCTAGGAAGAGAAATTTCATTAAAATGTCATTGTCACATATAACAAGGTCAATCACAAGAAGAAACAGAACACACAACATTTGCCCAAAATGGGTTATATACTTAAGGAAAAAAAAAATGTTACTAGGAAACTTGTTAAGTTATGTTATAAAGATAGGGATTGTGAGACCCTTACTTGTTTCAAAAAAACAAAATAAATGTGGGTCTCATAATTTCTATTTCTATAACATAACCTAACAAGTTTCTTACAACATTCTACTTCTATTTCATATACTTATATACCTGTTTGTTAAATGCAGGTAAAGTTGATGAGTTTGACGGACATTTTAATATCTCCACATGGTACTGAATTAACGAACATATTTCTGATGAAAAGAAACAGAAGTGTCATGGAATTTTTTCCCAAAGGTTGGCTAAAACTTGCTGGTGTTGGCCAATGTGTCTACCATTGGATAGCTAGCTGGTCAGGGATGAAAGTGTTACGATATAATAGATCGATATGTCTAATCATAGATTGGTATGTTAATATAGGATCTGTTTGCCCTCCCTCAGGTACTTATAGGAGAGGTACCCTAAAGGTAAGCGGATCACTGTGCACAATAATATAACGACATAGTCAAGGCGTGTGGTGTGTGCACAGTGACAAGCTAAGAGAGAGGTTTAGAGTGTGTGTACCTTATTGGTTTAAACTTATAGATGGGTTACTTGAAGGAGTGTACTTTTGGGCCTCTTAGGAATATTGGAGGCCCAAGTCCAACTGCTTAGCTGTCTGGATAGGATTGTCATTAATAGAAGATTCTTTTTCTTTTGGTGCTATTCTTTATTGGTCCTTATAGAATATGGATCTTTGTCAGGTCCATTACATAAAGATTTAAGAAGCTTCAATGAAGAGAAAAGCTACTAGTTCTACTGGTTGTGCTTGTAGCTAAATAGTCGTCACTTTTAAAACGACGTAAGTTTTTCTTATATGCTTTCATCACAGTTGTTCATTGTCAAGGTTATTGAATACTTAAAATGGCTCAAGTATAAGAGGATTTTGGTTTCTTTCATGCATTAGATTCTTCTCTTTTAAGTGGCAAAGAACCCTTTTAAGATTGTTTTTATTGATTTTATATATTGTAAAGACAAAGCTAAATGGAAACCACTGATTACTACAGCTATGTCTTAGGTGACCTCAATTAGATATAAGGGATTGTCTTTTCTCATGTTGCATAAAAGGAGAGTTATCTCCTACACACACATAGAGAAAAGAGAGGAGAGAGAATAAGGAAGAAAAAAAAAATTTAAAATGGGTCCCACGTTTACTTTGTGTCTTATGCATAAGATAACAATCTTATGTAACATAAGATTATTATTTCCCTAGATATAATGTGAATCTTCACATAAAAAAGTTATGGGAAGGAAATTGGAGTGGGTCTGGCTCATCATGTCTATTCTCTGATTATGGTGACATCCACGTGTGAGTTTATGATTGGCCAATGACTTGAAGCGTAATACACTTCAAATTTCTGTAACATAATACAAAGAAATAAAGTAAAAATTAAAACGCTTACATATTTAGTGTATTTTTTATTTAGCTTACTTTAAAAAAAAAAGGACAGATTTTTGAAAACTAAATAATTATTTTACACGTAAGATTCCCTCCACAGTTTTATAAATTATTGACTTCTTTCGACCTCATTAATCATGACTTAGATATAATTTTCGAGTTCCTTCCTTGGTAAGCGACATACAATCTTATCATAAACCCTCAATGAGGTTTGTAATCTTGGAGCACATTTTTAGTACTATTAGAGTACCTACTTCCTTACTAAAAACAGAAGAAACAAAAAAAGGATATGAGTCGAAATAACCATAATCATGTAGTAGTATATCTAAATTATTTTTTGTCGTATTTAGTAAATGATGTATCTAATACTCTGTACTCTTATAGCACTATAAATATTTTTTCTAACCTAAACTTTTATTTAGTAAAAAAAAACAAAGAACTCTAACCTACAAAAGTTTTCACATATCACAGTTTTGTCATGTCTATTGATATGGCTACACATTCTTTAAATTTTTTTAAGACTGATTATTTGATAAGTACCACTTTAACCCAAAATCCTAAGGAGTTGAGTGAGATTTAATTATTTATTTATTTTTTATATCACACTAACACATCCTCTCACGAAAGAATCATTTGGGCTTGAAGCATGGATATAATACAGACCCCCTTTTTTGTCTACTTTGTGTTGCACATGCCCATTTTTTGGTTTACCTTGTGTTTTTTCTTAATTCCACCTAAAAGTGGGGGCGATGAGGTCGAACTCATGACCTCCTGATCACTCCAGCTCTGATACTATGACAAGTACCACTCCAACCCAAAACCTTAAAGCATAATGACCATATATTGTAAATGATGAATTTACAAAATTATTAAGGAATAATGTGCATTAATGAAGAATTAATTATATGAGAGTTCTAATTAAAAGAATCAAAGTCACCTTCTGAAAACAAGTTAAAAAAATGACAGTTAAGGGATAAAATACGGGTAGACAAAGTTAATGAAAGTTAAAAATAAAATAGTCAATATTACCACAAAAATATTATAAGTCAATATGTTAAGTTTGAAAGAGAGTTAAGTGAGTGGGATAGATAAGTTTTATCCACTTGGGTATTTTGAATCTATTTAAATGTTAAGAAACACTCCCTCTCTTTTCTCTCGCAGATAGCCCCTCTTCTTACGCCAAGGAAGAGCTTTCTTCTCCTTTCCATCTTGTTACATTCCAATCCTCTAGAAACAGGAGAGATAAACCTCAATCTTCCTCTCCTTCATGTTGAGATATTCAAGTGTGATGAGTCCCACATTGGTTGGTAATGAGCTAAGTGAAGAGTATATAAGTGAAAGGACCCATGAACCTAATGCCTTAAGGTTTTGGGTTGAGACATGGTGTCAGATCCACTTGCTACGGTTGGTGTAGCCTTAGCTCATTGGTGGTGGTTCCCCGCCACGGGCTTCCCCTGGAACCGCTTGATATTGGAGTTTGAGGGAACGAATTTCCCAACAGTGGTATCGGAGCCGGATTGGGCTCGAGCTAGCCTAGTGATTGGCTAGGAGGCGGGTCGAGTACTTTGCGCTTCGGGTACTCGGTTGAGGGGGAGCATACCAATGGTGGGTTTCACACTTGAGGGGGAGATTGTTGAGATATTCAAGTGTGATGAGTCCCACATTGGTTGGTAATGAGCTAAGTGAAGAGTATATAAGTGAAAGGACCCATGAACCTAATGCCTTAAGGTTTTGGGTTGAGACATGGTGTCGGATCCACTTGCTACGGTTGGTGTAGCCTTAACTCATTAGTGGTGGTTCCCCGCCACGGGCTTCCCCTGGACCCGCTTGACATTGGAGTTTGA